TTTCTGTAGAGTCCACTATTTTTTTAATGAAATTGACGATGTTACTTGGATCGGTATTTTCAAATAGATCCTTTAAGTTATTCGATCTAGAAGTTACAGCAATCTAGTAGAATGTGTTTAACGGTATATGGTTCCTGGGATGGGGCACATATTGGCGGTTGCCCGTTTTTTAGTAGATGTTGGTGGGTTATCTATGTGTGTCCTATACGAAGTTTGGCTTTGAACCATCGTCTCTCTTATCTTTCTGTAACTTGACAGTCTTTCACTGATGATTGTTTCGATGTTGAGAAGTTTGTTTACACAATTGTTCCATAATTGCTGCCATTTTTTCTTTAATAGCCCTGTTTATGATGGGTCGGAAGTCGGTGTTTGGCACCTTTACATTTGAGAGGGCCATGTTCAGCGATTCCTTTGCCATTTTGTCGGCTTTTCCATTTCCTTGCATGCCAACATGGCTCGGTATCCAGTATAGGACTTTTACAGCATCTTTTCCCTTATAAATAGAGTCAATCCTATTTAATAATTTATTTATTAAGATGTCTCCAAGGTTTTTATTCTTCAGAGCTGTGAGTACACATAGTGAATCTGAGAAAAGAATGAATCTATCTGACCCACTGGATTCTATATCTAAAGCCAAATCAATGCCTGAGGCTTCTGTACTGAAGACTGAAGGATTGTCAGGCAATCCCTACTGCATTTTTATGTTGTTAAGGATAGCAGAACACCTCACCCTGTCCAACATTTTAGAGCCATCAGTGTATATATGCTCATGATTTGGGTAAGCTTGGAGAACCCTATGGATTTCTTCCATGTAACTGGAGTTAGAATTAATTTTAGAGTATTTAGTAAGATTTATCAGAATTTTATGTAGTTTTATTAACCAGGGTGGGTTTTTTGAGCTGGTGGTATTAAGAATTAGGGTTATATTTATTTGTGTTTCGCTGATGAAATTTTTCATGTAAAGGCTAAAAGGTTTGATAGCAATTTCTTTTTTACCAAATAGATTTTTGTATTTATGTTTGGAGGTACAGAGGTAGGCAAGGTTAGTCCGACAGGATTTGAGTTTTAGATGATATTGTCATGCCAGTTTTTCTCGTCTAAGTTTTCATGGGTTTCAGCATATAAACTTTCTCTGGGTGATGTTTTGAAGGCACCCTGAGCCAGTCTTAATCCTGTATGGTAGATGGGGGGGGGTCAAGGGATTTTTTTTTAGATAGGATTTCCAGGTCAACCCATATATGAAACATCCGTAGTCCAATTTAGTTCTATAAGAGTGCTATATAATTTTAGGAGTGATATGCGATCTGCACCCCAGTCGGTGTTAGCCTCGACCCGTAGTAATTGCAATAATTTGAAGAATTTCTGTGTTATGTATTTTAATGGGGGGGGGCGGGGGTGAAATTAAGTTTTTTTTTTATCAAAAAAAGATTCCCAAAAATTTATGTTGGAGAGTCACTTCGATTTCTTTTCCTTCAAGTTTGAGAGTTGGATCCTTGTGTATTTTTTTTTACGATTGCAGAAATGGATACACATTGTTTTGATTGAACAGAATTTGAAACCGTTTTCGATAGACCATCGGTTTAATTTGCAGTTGCAGAAGGTCGTCTGCGTATAATGAGCCATCGACGCCATGATTCAAGAAATTAACAATGTCGTTAATTTTTATATTAAAAAGAGCGACAGAAAGGATGCAACCTTGTGGGACAGCTTGGAGATTTGAGTCCGAGAGTGTTGATTCTACCCGAATCTTCTATCCGATAAAAAGTGTTGTTTTTTTTTCAAATTGCGTAGTCTATACATTTATCCCAGATTGTATAGGTCTTTGATTATTCCATGTCTTCATGTTGTCTCATAGGCGTTTTCTAGATCACAGAAAATAGCTATTGCGTTCTTTTTTTTAATAAAGGCCTCTCCAATGAATGTTTCTAGGCGGACTATGTCTCTTATTTCGAAATCTACTCTGGAGATCGGTAATTAAACCATTAATTTCGAGGTACCAGTTCAATCTTTTATTTACTATTCTTTCTAGGGTTTTGCATATGCAACTTGTTAATGTTATGAGTCGGAAGTTTTTTTTTGGGGGGGTCTGCTTTGTCTTTATCTGATTTTGGTATAGGGATTACGGTAGTTTGTTTCCAGCTATTCGGTAATTTTCCCTTAAACCATATCTCGTTAAAGATGTTTAACAGATATTTTAAGTATTTAGGTGGGAGGTTGTTTAAGAAATTCATAATGAATAGCTGGTCTAATAGCTGTACTATGTGATTGGTTTATGATATATGCAAATTTATTTAGAGTAAAAGGATGGTTGTAATCTTCCTTGTTGTTTGAGTTAAAGCTCAGCTTATTTTTCTTTCTGCATCTTGCCTAACTTTTTTTTTAAATTGCTCTTTGTAGTTTTCGCTGGAGGAATTTAAAAAATGATTCACAAAGTAGATTTTCTATATCCTTTTTGCTTGTTATTTTTATGTTATTTTGTTAAAGGTGATTCAGAGGAGGTGATAGATTTTTGCCAGCGATTTCCATTCTCATATTCCAGAATATTTTGGTTTCATATTGGAGTTTATTTTATTTAGGTAATTTCTTCATGATTTTCGCTTAGCTTCTTTGGTGGCTCTATTTGCTATTGCTTTTTTGTGCGAATAGATTTGAATTATAGGTTGTAGGTTGAGTATTAAATTTTAGTAGTGTTGCTTTACATAATCTCATTGCCTTTTTGCAGTCTTTGTTGAACCATGCTCTTTGATGTTTATTTGATTCACTGTTTTTTGGTATACATTTTCTTGCAATTGCTATTAATGTTTCCGAGAAATATTCAATACATTTTTTGTCAGTACATTTTTGATTGCATTGGCTTTTATATTCCTTCCAATCCGCTTTGTTTAGTTTCCATCAAGGGAGATACTTTTTCAATTGGTTCTGAACTCTTCAGTATAATTCGTTAGTGAACACTGCTGCATGAATCGTCGAGAACTTGCCATTTGTAATCCACAAAAATAGAGGGGACACACAGCGATAGACAAATAGCTGGGTATGTACCTGATGCAGATATGTATTAGGCTTACAATTTAGTAAACATAAACCGTTGGTGTTAATTACATTTTCCAGGATTTTCCATTTTTGTCTGAGTTCTTGGATCCCCATATTAAACTGCGACTATTAAAGTCACCAAATAATATGAATGGTTTTGGTAGTTCTATTATTTGATTTAGATCAGTTTCTTTTATGGGATCGTGCAGTGGGATGTAAATAGAGCAGATGTTAACGGTTCTATGTAGGGTAGATTTTGCAGCAACTGCTTGTAGTTAGGTTTCTAGAAGGATTTTACTTGGGGGGGGGAATGTTATTTCTGATTAGGATCGATACACCCCCAGATGCCTTCTGTTGAGTTATATATGTAGTTACATTGAGTATAGTCTTTTTTTATTTTATCATTAGTTTTTAAGAAAGTTACTTGAAGGCAAATGACGGCGGGAAGTTGATTCGTTATGAGTTGGAGTAGTTTGTTTATGTTTGCATTTATTGCTGGTAACTTTTAATCACGAAAATCTATTTCTAGCACCTTCACTTCAAAAATGTATTTCTACCCTTTCGTTTTATATATATATATATATATATAGTATTTTGGTATTTACGGGTTAAATTACTCAATATCAGAGATAGGGCATATTGAATATAAATCTGGACATTGAAGTCAACGTCCGAATAAAAGTACCTTTATATATGCTTGGCGTCACTTTTTTTATGGCGGTGATATTTTTCCAATGTTTGAATTGAAATTGTTGCAAAACAAATATTTAGGTTTTTAACATAAGGAATGTACATAACGATAGATCGTAAGCACAGCAGAAACATCGCCTGGGAAAGAACCAATCTTTCTAACCTGTTTTCAGTCGAAATTATTTTCTGGAGAATGTAATGGGCTTATCAAATTACAAATAAGCCTCATGACATAATACCGAACAATATATATAGGTAATATTGCCTGTATGCATAATGAAACTTCATTTTTAATTTTATAGCAAGCATTCATTTATCAAAATGAAAATTCACTTACTTAATAAAAATGTAAATATCAAATACTTTTCAAAAATATATTTGAATAACACGCCGTGAAATTTACATCGCAAATATTATTGCACATTTTCCAACATACAACTGTAATCCATTGGCAGTTATGGAGATTACTTTATTTACTTTATTAAACAAAATACGACTAAAACGTCTTTCAAGAATAGATGTAAGAGCATTTTAATGTCGCTGGTTGGGCAGTTAAAATTATAGGATATTTGTTTCCAGAGGTGTCCAATCATCCTGTCTCTTCGTTAAATATCCATATATCGTAGTGACGGAATTTTCCATCCTAGCGATGAAAAAACAATGGAGTAAGTAGATAAAAATCATCCATAAAATAATGATATTGATTGGCTTGTTTAAAGACACATCAACTCCTTCTGGGTCATTTAATGAGAAATTTAATTTTCTTGAGTGATATATATTCTGCTTTCTACAATTGGTAGATGATACTCAGTTTTTGTTCATATATGTTTGTGTGGACATAATTACTAGATGCAGCAATATATGTGTTTTATGCTGTAGTTTTGTAGTTATATTTTTGAATACAGTTCGAGTTCTTTAAGAAATTATAGGATATTATATAGTTTAATGCTATGAAAGAGTTCATTCATTTTAGTTGCTTGGTAGTAATTTAAGCGGATTTGGTTGAAATCACTTTGTTAGTATGTGTTTTATTGTGTATAGTTCTTGGCATGCCGTGCAGATTGGATGGGGTTCTTATTTTAGAAGATAAAACATCTTACAGATATTCCGACATGATTTAAAAAAGAAACAATCCGTTTCACTTGTTTAGTCGCTGTTGAAGTTCAATGTCAGCTCAATGATATTAAAAAATACTTGCGATCGCTTAAGTATTTGTCTTGAATTAATTTTTTTCAAGATATTTATCTATTTATCAATGTAGGATATGCGACAACCCTTAAATGAATGCCTCTAAGTACTCGGATAACTATCACAAATTCAACACAGCATCCGATATCAAATGAAATTTTTACTTGTTATTATTTTAGTTCAGAATCAAACGTTTAATGAATAATTACGGATAATATGAATCATTAACAGGTAGGAAATTTCAGTTTCTCCAGTCCCATCTCTCCACCATCTCTCCACTATCCGTCTCCCCATCCCCTGGTACCATCTCTCACTATCCGTCTCTCCCCATCCCCTACAGACCCATCTCCCACTATCCGCCTCTCCCATCCCCTACAGACCCATCTCTCCACCATCCACCTCTCCCATCCCCCCACAGACCCATCTCCACTATCCGCCTCTCCCCATCCTCTACAGACCCATCTCTCCACTATCCGCCTCTCCCCATCCCCTACAGACCCATCTCTCCACTATCCGCCTCTCCCCATCCTCTACAGACCCATCTCTCCACTATCCGCCTCTCCCCATCCTCTACAGTACCATCTCTCCACTATCCGCCTCTCCCCATCCTCTACAGTACCATCTCTCCACTATCCGTCTCCCCCATCCTCTACAGTACCATCTCTCCACTATCCGCCCCCACCTCTACAGACCCATCTCTCCACTATCCGTCTCCCCCTCCTCTACAGCCCCATCTCTTTCTATCCATCTCCCCCACCTATCTCTAACCATCTCCTTCCTTTACAGCTTATCTCTTTCTACCCATCTCCCTCTTCTACAGTCTCTCTCTTTACCCATCTTCCCATATCCAACCTGTCTCCTGTTCATATCTATATCTCAGTTGGCATCCTTAGTATTTAAGATTATTTTGTTTCTTGGTTTATCGAAAATTATTCAAGAATCATAAATCACTTATCCAGCTTGTAATTTCAGAACGTCGTTTTGCTCGTGGGTTAATTACTATATCGGCTTACTACTTTCTGCAATTATTTAAAATGTGATTTAAACCACATAAGAGCCAAGTACAGGTTTCTAAGGTGTAAAATATTTCCTACTTGTGAATAATATGTTTTTGAAGGTGTCTGTTAGATATTATAGTACATAAATTGCTATATTTTACGGGCAATAAGTGAAATACAAAACAATTAAGTGACCTCTGCAAATAAATCCTACTAAAATCAGTAGATACGAAAAAAAACTTGACATTTCTGTATAAAACACAGATCCAAAATAAAATAATTGGTTTCTAGAACCTGATTAGATATGACAAGTTACATGATGTTCCCTCTACGACGTCCGTACAGTTGAACACTAAATGACCTGGAAATAGTTCAAAGCTTGGGTCATGGAGTACATTCCTGCCCCAAATAATGCAGGTTTCGTGAGCTGATCACCGACTCGTCATACGTCATAAAAACAGCCTCGACACAGGTCAACATGATAACGTATCAGTCAATTATGATTTTGCTACACACAAAGCCGTGGCAAAGTAAGACTTGTCTTCAATCTCCTTGTTCACTGTGTTTTAAAATTACTGCTATTGCACGAAATCGGTGACACAAGTTTCATTAGCGTGTGCTTCACACGCACAAATTCTGGCGTACATATTATTTCGCACTTTCTAAACTCACTTGCAACAAATTACAACGAACTATTGGTCTCTTCATGGTCACAACGAAGAACATTTTCATCATGGAAATATCTGTAACTACTGTATAAATGTTATTTTCATATTTAGCTTGGTTTTCTTCCATTTCTGCGAAGATCATTTCTTCACGTTGTTTATAATTCTGTATTGTAATTTGTGGACATGGAACACGGATTTTATTTTTCCACCTAAAATCTGGCTAGATCGCCTCTACAAAAATGGTGACTACAGATGAAGAACAATCCAAAAATTATTACTGACACCCACAATGTTGTAATATTTTTTAATCGTCCCCACAAAAGGTTGAAAATAGGATCAGGTAATTGAAAGAAATCATAAGCTTTGTATTATCGTCTGAAAACTCAAGGGTGACTTGAAATAATACAGAGAAAATATTAAAAAAGTTTGCTGCAATTAGTTTCAGTTACGCAAGATGAGAAAACAAGACTGTTTCTTGATTTTACAGAAAACAAATCGAAGGGATACTCTTTACTTGGGCCAAATGTGAAGGAAGTATAATTAGTTCTACATTGAGAGAGAGAGAGAGAGAGAGAGAAACACTTACTGACATTGTGCATGAAAACGCGTATGCGCAAAGACATGCAATCATATTGCAGATAACTGTATCCGTGCGAGTATAGTAAAAAGAAAACAATTTACTTTGTCTTTTATCGGTCATAAAAATCACTGAAGCTACTACTAACTAGTGTTTAACTTTACTATTTAGAAGACGAGCGGGCAGGCATTTTATTGTCTGGGCAATTTTTCCTTTTAATAAAAAATAACGAGAACTCATATTTTAGATTTCCACTTCATCAATATCTCGAAGACCCGTGAGTGACATCAGAGTTGGAACAAGTGGTAAACAGAAACATACAAGTTTTTCTATTTCAATTCTTTAAACAGAACAAGGAAAACTAAATCTATTTTGAAAGGACGTTAGAATAATCCGAAACATATTCTGGTAGCAAACCGCCTGAATATGGAGGAGAGTAAATGAATTCAGTTGCTACACAAAAATAGAAAGGCGGCGTAAGCAAAGGATGTGTCTACTCCCCAGAATTATTCAACACTTGCTTAAAAGCCGTCCTATTTAAGTTAGCTCCTGCGGAGGGCTCTTGATGAGGCCTTCATCACAGTAGGTAGGAAGAAGGAGATGCGACAGGCAATAATAAAGTATACAAGAACTCGAAATTGATCGCTGCACTTAAGTATTGCATTAATATTTAAGCTTACCTTTTAAAAGTTCTGCGATAATTATTATGCCGCCATTTAAAGACTATTTGATGTAAGTAGGTCCTTACTTTCCGTACAAACAATTATTTTTATGTAATGGGTCGATTTCGCAACTAATTTCAATTATTCCCAAATTTATGTTATAAAATTGTTATTGTGCAAGAAAATTTATTGCAAGAAATCACTTAAAATCGCCGAAAACAATCGCAGTAATAAAATTTGGGAATCCGAAATTTCAGGATTGCGGGTCCGGATCGGAATTTTTTTTTAATTTGATCACGTGTTGGGGCGCACCCACCTTCTAACTAGGAATTGACTGGTCCCTCTTATATAAGTCAGCTCTGGAGAAGTGGAGGGCGTCAGAGAGTCGGCGGTCAGCGTGACAGTCAGATAAAGCTTACGGTACATGCCGTTGGACTATAGACTTTGGATATTGTTCGTACTAACCAACCTTCGTTCTATTAATCACTCTATTGTTAATTGCGTTTATGAATATACCAGTATTTTCCTCTACAACTGGGGTAAAGTTGAAAAAGTGTGACACACTAACATTTGCATTTATTATATAGATTTACAGTGAAGATATTCGTAGGGAGCTGGAGATCCTTCCAGTATTTATTACCCGAGGATACAATATAAGATATGCAAATGACACTGTGTTGATGACAAGTACAGAAAGAAAACTATATGATCTTCTGTAAAGGGTGAAAAAGGAAAGCGGAAAGGAAGAACCAACCACCAATTCTATGAATTTAGAATTTCTAGAAAATGAATTAAAAAAAAATGTGCAAGATGTGAGATAATTGGACTTATGAAAATCAAACAAATGCAGATGTTATATCCTTAAAGAGGTTACAAACAAATAAAGGTGTGGTACTCGAATTACGGAAGAGCAACACGCACGTAGAGGAAAGAAGAGAGGTTTATTGTAAAAGAGAATACACTACTGAAAGACAGGGAATCGGGTGGCAGGCTAGTAATTCCTGAAGCAAGGATATTTACCTTTCCCCTCCCCACCCGCGTGGCAGAATGTGGCACAAAATAAATTTTTAATGCGGTGTCAAAACCGAGCCCGTAGGCACGAGCAAAAATTCCCCGTAGACCCTATAAAACGGGGGTTGGGTAGCTGTTTACCACCCCAGACGAGACTGATCTCTGGCATAGCCCCGTCTGGGTTCCTCTCTTCCCGAGAGTTCGAACAGCTAAGCTCGAGACGAATCTCCAACTAATTGCCGAAGCAAGGTTATTTACCTCACCTCCGCGCGAGGCAGGATGTAGCACTAGGCCGTTTTTAATGCGGGGTTAAAACCGAACCCTTGGGATCGGGCAAAAATTCCCCGTAAAAAACGGGGTCGGGTAGCTGTCTACCACTCCAAAAGAGACACTCTCCTTCGGTATAACCTCGTTTAGATCCCTCTCTGCCTTCGTGCAGAGAGTTCGACTAGCTTAGCTGGAGACGAATCTCCAACTAATGAGCGAGGAAGCAACAAGGAAGCCTTAAATAAAATGGCAACAAACAGGACACATAATCAGAATCATGAAGAGACAGCTGAACTATTTTGGACATTTAATGAGGAAATTCTCACAGGGCAAGAACGACAGGGGAAGGCAGGGAGTCAACTACCTGATGAGCAGGTGTAAATGGAGAGCGCAAGTGGGGAAAGGAGGCTTGGATAAGGGAGAAAAACAGTTAAGAGCCACACGGGATAGGTTTTGGAGAGCGTTGATTATTATGACTTGAAGGGAAGCGGCAAACAGAAGAGGAAGAATGAAAAGATATTTTATTCTTCAATTATGCTATAAAATATATGAGCAAAAATTTCCGGAGACAAATACATATTGTCTCTACCTTAGACAGGGGGTTAGCTTGTCTATAGTCTTGGGCGGCAATCGGTCTAAAAAAAAGACAACTATGTTTTCAAAACCTGAGGAAGCTCGTTTGGGGTCCTTGTGGCACGCTATGAACCAGTTCTCCTTATTCGGCTCTTCTAAGAAGTGTGGTCAGTTCTGTACAAGAGCCTTCACTATTATAATCAAATCATATGTGTAGGTAGCCTGTTTGGTTCCAAGAACTGAGTTGTTCTTTTTTTTATAAGTAAAAAAAAAAAAAAAAGATAAACAAAAAAGAAAAGAGTTTTCCACATATATAATCTTTCAACTTCTAACGAGGCTAGTATTTGGTTTAATTGGCCGTAATATGTTAAAGAATTCGCTCTTAGAGTTAACGCTATACTTACCCAGTAATTAAGATAGTAAAACAACTGATACTAATTGATATACGGAATTTGTGAGATTATGGGACACAGCGGAGCGTTAGGTTTGTATTGTTTTATATTTCCATTTTCCAAACCAGAGTAATACTCATCCACAACTTTGTGGAGTTTGAAGGATCCGATCACCAAGTTGTGAGCCGTAATCACTTTATTAATCTATGTTTTCAGGAGCCTAGTGGTGTTTTGCTGAGTTTTTTTTAATTTGTCGTTGTTGTTGAAATGGTGTTTTTATTGGTGTTTGATTTGTCACTTTCCCGAATTATGATGTCTTTCTTCTTTTTTAATTCCCTGTAAGTTTGTCTCAACGCTTTCTTGAGGAATTGATATACAGCCGATGAGATGCCATCCTTTTCGTCTATCCATATGTTAAATCCTTCAGCATAGAAGTTTCGTTGTAACGGTATCTCATACCACTGGGTAAAGACTCTCCCCGGAGAGAGAGGAAGATTGCCGCATTTTCAATGATTTGATCTTCCCACTTAATTTTTTTTCCGCAGAGGTGGTTCCACATGCCATTCGTTCATTCATTCGTAAGTGACCTGTCAATTTCTAAATTCCGAGAACGGCGGAGTGGGGCGCGCAGCGAAGTAACAGCTGGAGCTGACTAGGGGTCCTTCGTTCTTCTATGCATGCGAATTTCTGCTGTAACCACATCAAGAAATTAGAAAACTTCCTCATGCATTCTCTTCGTTCCAGGATCGCAT